TGTCCACAGTCGAGAGCAATGGCCACGACCCATCTGCTTAAAGAAGTCTCGTCCTTACTTGATAAGCAGATCGTTTATCGAGGCAAGAAAAAAACGTAAGCTGTTGAATTGAAAATCAAATTAATGTTGTGCATGGACTGATTAGTTCTTGTGTTTTTTTGTTTTTGTTTTTTTGCACTTCAAGGTACGGTGGCCCATAGGGGACAGCACTTTAAATAAAAAAATCACTGCAACTAAACCAAAATCACTGCAAACACAAACGAGTCACACTGCAAACAAAAAAAAAATCTAGCACTGCAAATAAAAAAGTCGAACGCTGCAAATAAAATCTAACACTGCAAATAAAACAAATCGAAAATATAAAAAAACGAACACTGCAAACAAAAAATCGCGCACTGCAAACAAAAAATCGCGCACTGCAAACAAAAAATCGCGCACTGCAAACAAAAAATCGCACACTGCAAACAAACGTCCAAAAGCCTTCGCGCGCAGGAGTAGCTTGCGTGACGCTAAGGGGCGGTTGCATAGGAAACTTGGAAGCTTTCTACCGCAGAAAGAGTCATGTCCACTTCATTACCGAATGGTTCGGAAAGAGAGTTAATAGAACATTACTTCCATAAGGGATTTCAATACAAGGAGATCATTCTTTTGTTGGAAAAATACCACAATATCAGCATTACAATAAGAACCTTGAAGCGAAGGTTGAGTGCTTATGGTCTTAAACGTCTTAATGAATTTGACACAAACGATGTGCAGCACATCAAAGAGATAATTGCTCGTGAAATACAAAATGGGCCTCAGAGCCGCAATGGATATCGTTCGATGTGGCATGTTCTACGACTTAGATATCATATCCATGCCCCAAGACATATGGTAGCCTCATTGTTACGTGAAATTGACCCAGAGGGGGTAGAATCAAGAAAGCGTCGTGTTTTTCGTCGTCGTACCTATGTGTCACCAGGACCAAACTTTTGCTGGCACTTAGACGGCTATGATAAACTTAAATCGTTTGGATTTTCAATACACGCATGTGTGGATGGCTTTAGTAGAAGGATTTTGTGGATTGAGTTACAACGGTCCAACAAAGATCCCAACGTCATGGCAAAATATTTCTTAGATAGCATCGAAAATGCTGGAGGTTGCCCTGCACGTGTCTACTCTGATCATGGAACTGAAAACGGGATTATTGCAGCTATGCAGTGCTATTTTCGTTCTGACGGCTTGGATGAATATGCTGGTACCAAAGCACATAAATACGTGCCAAGTACGAGCAACCAAAGAATCGAATGTTTCTGGTCCTCATTTAGAAAACAACGTTCTGGCTGGTGGATAGATTTTTTTAACGATCTTCATGAATCTGATATTCTTGATTTGTCAAGTGAGATTCACAGAGAGGCTTTGTGGTTTTGCTTTGCAGATTTGTTGGAAAGTGAGTTAGAAAAAATGAAAGACTATTGGAACACTCATCGAATCAGAAAGTCGAAGTATGCAGCAGTTGCTGGTTCCCCTGATATTATGTACTTTTTACCCGAGGAATTTGGACAGACAGATTGTTTATTCCAAGTTCCTTCCCAAAAGCTTGTTGAAATGAAAAGCAAACTAGATTCTGCACTAGAGCAAGATGACCCAATTTGGGAAGAATATTTCATTTATGTTATGGATAGWAATGGTCTATCACCACCAGCAACTGTACAAGAAGCAGGTACATTATTTCAATCCCTGGTGACCTATGCAAAGTAGAAGACATTATGGCCTGAACTCAAGTAGACAAAAAGATGTATTTTTTTGTATGTTTAATTGGCTTTAAAAGCCATCTTCTGTTTGATAGTCAGCAATATCATAAAACAAATGCAAGTTCGTTAGTGCTGTTATGGCATGGGGAAAACTCCTAAATCTGCACACACAAAAATCCATTTGAATAATGGCCTATTAAAATCTGATTGCCCATGATCGGCTGCTTGGACCAAAAACAATAGAAATTCAAAGTAGATTGGAAAGCAGTAATGTATACACGAAAATAATTTAGATATAGAACTGTATGTATGACGTCATACATATAACCCTATTGTTCTTTTATATTTAAACTAGACTTACTAAAAATTGTGCACTTTAAGCTCATTATCCTAAAGAAATTTGGATTTAAAATCTCAAAGAACAATAGGGTTATTGTATGTATGACGTCATACATACCAAATTCAAATGCTAAAAAAATGTGTTTCATTTTGATGTAAGCAAAGTATTGCTTCACGGTAATCATTGTTGCCATGATAGGCTTCAATGATAGGCTTCAGTTATAAATTCATTTCAGTTTTCATTAACTTTGGTCCAAGTGGCACTTTAAATAAMACTTATCAAAATAGTGTCAACAATTGTTCAAAAATGTTTTCAAGTGGCTATAGAAGTGACTACAGTAAGCAAACAGACCAAAATATGTAGATGACAGATTGTAGAATACAGGATATTGGAGCATGGTTGTGAMATACAGTCACTATAAAACATTCAAATGAGTCTAATTATTTGAATGTTTTATAGTGACTGTATTTCACAAGCATGCTCCAATATGTTACAGTAGGAATTTGTCATAGTAAAAATGTCATAGTACCATGAAGTCAATGCCTTATCTTGTTTTCTCCAAAAACAACTTGTATTTGACATCTTAAAAATCAAAGGTAAATGTATGGGGAATTTCTGAATTCTAATTTTTATATTTTATTTTTATCCTTGTACATAATAATAATATTTTAAGCGAAATATGACCACTTATATTTTATTGTTTAAAAAAAAAGCACACAAAAATAAACGTTTAAAATTAAAAAGAAGGAAAGAGAAGAAGACATTATACAGACTTCCAAATTGATATTTTTTATTTGGATTTTATAATAAATTATAGTCCTTAAATCTATGACACAAAATTGTCAAAGTGACCTTTTCATCAAACTGTAACAACAAATGGGTATTAAAAAGTAAGTGCTTATGCATAACTATTAACAAACATGTGACCCAGGTCACTCAATACTAACTCTGTTGTGACACTTCAGCATTTTCCAAAACCCTGTCCTTCTATAAGTGATTGGTACAACATACTTCGGAACTTGTGAGGATCACTGATTCCTCTTGGGAGGTAAAGGCTCAGCGAGCAAGTAGAGGACCATGGGAGTCTCCTTTCTCCATCTATTACATCATAGAACTGAACTGTGATCTTGCTATCAAACCCAAGTGGTGGAATTGAATCAGCTCCAGTCATGAACACCAGTAGATCAGATAAATGGAGATCCTCTATTTCCCYTTCTTCCAGGTCTTTCTGGAATACATCAAAGCAATAGATGGTTTCCAACTCCTCTTCCCTATTATTCGATCCTGCCTCCGAGAAGTAGACTGTGTAATGCTTTTTTAATGACTCAGACGTCAGTTCGTCGATGTTGTTACTWAACACTACTTGAAAGACATTGTAGTTCTCAAACACAGTGTCCCCAAGCCCTCCAATCATATTCATTCCTTCGCGGAACTGCTGCATGTCAGCATACACGCTGAAAAGAAATGACTGATTCAGAAGACTTTCTATAATCTTCTCCTTGTCTCCAAACTTTGAAGTATAAATTCTGGAATAACCATAGTCTGCTATTTCATCAGCATGCTTGTTTATAACCTCAGGAAAGTTTTCTTCATTCACTGCTTTTATGCTCTTCAGAATATCTTTAAGCTTTGCATCAGATACAACCTCAATGACTTGTGCCTGGTCAATGTGTTTGCCTTGAACAACACAGTAGGCCTCCATTGACAGGCACTTTGGACCAGTAACCCCATGCAGAATACTCCAGGAAACCAATTTGCCTGTAATACAAGATAAACACTTTTGTTAGAATAATTAATGCAGAAAAAAATAACCAAGGTAGCATATGGTTCCCCTGTTTATTGTTGTAAAATATACATGTACATAAAAAAAGTTAAACTGTTAAATGTTAAACTAGGTATTCCTATGCGATCCAAATGACCAATTTGGTCTTTCACAATGCTTGTTAACGGAGCTATCACTATCACCACCACTAGGTTCTTAAGTGCGGGTGTTTACTGTAACTCTATCTGACTTGTTATTTTTTTGTGTTTTTTTTTTTACAAAAGCCTGGAATTGTTTGTAATGCTTCAAAAACCTATACGAAGCCTCCTAAAATTTATTATTTGACTAAAATGGAGGATTATTGACTTCACAATTATTATTTTTATGGTCAAAATAGCTACTGGAATTTTCACAACCATGCAAACTCGCACATCYGAACAGTGAACTCGTTTTCGCGCTTTTCGCTTCCGTCAATCACGATCAAAATGATAAATAATGACCTCAAAGCAATCGAAATTCATACCAAATAATTCAAAATGACTTCTAGATAACATACTATAGCTCATACTTTTTTTATTATTTCTATTCTGTATTTCCTTGGAATTTTGCTTTTTAATTAATTTTGATTGACGGAAGCGAAACAGGCAAAAACCAGTTCACTGTTCGGATGTGCGAGTTTGCTTGGTTGTGAAAATCTCAGTAAGATAGAATTTGCTTGGTCTTTTTGGTCATTCTTACCTGCAAGTTCATACTTTCTCTGTTTAAGAAGCTCGAGGTCATGCGCGAACCAACTCCCATCAAAGATTCCCATTCCTCTAAGGCTCTGCATCAGTAAGCGGAAAAATTCCCTCTTTGGACCCCCTGCATCTATACCATCTTCTCCAGAGAAGGTAACCAAAAATGGCTTGTTAAAACTAAAGCTTTTCCTTTCTATCGCACATAAGGTTGATGTGAGAAGTGCCTTCCTGGAAATCACTATCTTTACCATTTCGTCATCTTTTGTATCCAAGGATTTTGAGATAAATCTTTGCAAAACTTCACTAGCCTTTTCTCCACTAGCTTTTTGGTCATCTACAGATAGATACAGCGAAGTCATTTAATATTG